CGCCGTGAGCGTTGGAGCCTACGGGGCCTTCAGGTTGAGCCGGGTCCGCTAGAAGCGGGGAAGCCGGTGAGCCAGGCAGGGAAACGCTGAAGTCATGCATGCGTACTTTGCGGCGGGCCCATTCGAGATCGTCGTGACTGGGGGAGCTGGGATTCTTGGATTGACGCCATAGCTCGCAGCCGGCGACCATTTCACTTTCCCAGCTGTAGACGTTAAAGCCGAAACGAGAGCTGAAGGCAAGGTTAGGCGAGGCGCGGAGGGAATATGTTGTAGATAAAGAGCCCACAATCGGGGCCAATGTTAGTGTTAGAGTGTAGGGGAAGGTCGATATAGGTGTCCGGGTGCTGGAATGTGATGATGATGGCAGGACCTTTGTGGCTGCGGGTAATGTGGTGAATCGCAGGCCGGTTGACATGCCAATCAGTGATGATATCGGGGAATAGTACGCCTCTGCACCTGCGGACAGGAGGGACGATGGCGGCGGGACGTCGTCGTGAATGTATCGAGGATCTGGGCCGAAGTTCCAGAGTCCGCGCCAACCGAACAGGGCGTTGTCTGTGCTGAAGAGGTACTCATTGCTGTACTTGCCCGTGTCGTGGGATAGCTGGGTGAGCATTGAGGCCTGTGGAGCGGACTTGGATTGCGGTGGTCCCCGAGTTGAGCAGACAGCTAGCGACAGCTGCATATTCGTAGAGATTCTGCGTAGAAAGAGCGCATATAGAGTGGAGGGAGGTGGAAGATGGAGAGAAGCATGGAGCAGAGTAGCTTTACGCTTTGCCTCGCTTTCTTCGCTATTTTCGCTATTTTCTCCGTCTTTAGGATTTGGTGGTTCTGGGTGGCTTCCGTCTGTGAGCCCGGGAATGCTAACGCCGTCTAAGAGCGAGTCATATCCCCAGGTCTGGATTGGGGCCGCGGGGGCCTGCACTTGACGGTATCCCGGGCATATCTTTCGAAGCGGGATTGACGCACTTCTGCTTGGTAGGTCGTTAAATGGCACGGTACTAAATAGATATGACACAGATCCATCGAGCAAGCCAACGGTGCCAAGTGTGTAACTGGTCGCGAAATGGGGAGTGGACAGTGACGAGAGGTGAACGCGCAACCGTTCGGGGGTCGAGAAGTCCAGGATCGCTGTAACAACTGTGTTAGGCCAGCAACTTCCATGCCCCATAGAGAGACTTTGGGGGGATAAATCAATTACATACATTGAGCGGTGGTGTTGAGTGACGAGTACGAGTTGTCGCGATTCCAGTGGGTCGCCTCGGCGAAGGACAGCTGGATGTAGTCCATAAAGTCCAGCATTGTCCAGGCTCAGCCCTTGCAGGTGACAATATGACTAGCACCGTGAAACCAAACAAGATCGTTCGTAGCAAGCGCAATTGAAGACCCGACCCTGAGAGATCACAGCTGATTGCCCCATTCAGGTTAGCGTTGGATAAGCCCGGCGGTGGGTTAATCCGGTTATCAGCGAAGAAAAAATGTCTGTGGGGGAAACATCTAACCTTCTGCCTGAATTCATTGAACCACCAATTCCAAAATCATAATTCAATATGCCTCGTTCAAAGCGTGCGCGCATCGTCCACGAGTCCAAGACTGCCAAGAAAGATCACAAGGAGCAGACCCGGCGCCTATTCGCCAATATCCGGGAATGTATTGAAGAATATGATCATCTTTTTGTCTTTGCGGTCGATAACATGCGGAACACCTATTTGAAGGATGTGCGCACTGAATTTGCCGATAGCCGGTAAGAATCATTGCTCCAATCGGAATTTGCATAAGATATTGAATCGGAAAAAGCGCTTGATCAACAGCGGTGGATCCGATATCAAATATTTATATGCAAATCCTTCAACCAAAAGATCAGTTGTCTAATTATGTCTTTCCAGAGTTTTCTTCGGCAAGACCAAGGTCATGGGCAAGGCCCTTGGCGCTGATGTCGAAAGCGAAGCCGCTCCCAACCTGCGCAAACTCACTCCTTTCCTCGCCGGTGCCGTTGGATTGCTATTCACCTCCCGCACTCCGGAATCAGTGATCGACTACTTCGAGAACTTCCGTCCCCAGGATTTCGCTCGCGCTGGAACTGAAGCCACTCGCTCTTTCACTATTCCCAATGGCCTGGTCACCGCACGGGCCGGCGAGATCCCTGCTGAGCAGGACGAGCCTGTCAGCCACACCATTGAGCCCGCGCTCCGCAAGCTCGGTGTCCCCACCCGTTTGGTGAAGGGCAAGGTTATGCTTGAGTTGACTGAGGGTCAGGAGGGCTACCCCGTATGCAAAGAGGGAGAAACTCTGGACTCGCGACAGACTACGTTGATGAAGATGTTCGGTATCACCTCGTCCGAGTTCAAGGTTGACCTCAAGGCCTACTGGACGCGGAGTACTGAGGAGGTCAAGATCCTCGAGACTGAGGGTGGAATGGATGTTGATGCATAGATGGGGATCTTCATATTTTTCCGTTTTTTATTTCTTCTCTTTCCCATTCGGCTTCCGTGTGGCCGAAAAAAAGAACTCTGCTGGGCATCTTTTGGAGTTTGGTGAGGGCGCTTTCTTTGCAAATATATTGAAGACTTGTGTGTTTTATCTCTCTTTCTCTCGCATCCTTATACAGGAGGCTTTCCCTCCTGCTGGATTATGAGCCTATGACAAGATTCGGATACCAGGTCGAAAAAAGTCTACAAATTTACCTCGTTCTTGGACATATATCAACCGTAGTGCAGAACCGCTAGCTGTATTGCCTAGACTTTCATCTATCTAGCAAGATACCTGCCTTTCAGTCGTTTCACATGGTCCTTACCTGGTCTTACCTGATGGTTCACCAGATTCCATTTTTGCGCGGAAGAGGACAGAACTAAAATACAATACTTACCCCTGCAGAGAAAACGAAATCTCATAGGACCAAGGGGAAAAAAGGGGGAAAGAAAAAAAAAGCATTGGAAAACGAGTCAAGAAAACACGAAGGGAAATAAGAATAGATAGAACGGGGAATACAAGCACAATTCATGAGAATCTCCGTCTGCCGAGGAGTTTAGATGGACCAAGCAGGGGATGTGGTGAATAACCACTTTGACATCGAGTTGTGATGTTGGTATGAGGTGGAAAACATTGACGGTTGTGAGCGTTCGAAATGAATTGCACATGGGCCAATTCATGATTTACCCCCTTACCCTTGAGAAAGAGTGATACAACTGGGTAGATCAGTGATACCCACCAGTACACCAGCAAACCCAGACTTCATCGGAAAGAGGTAAGACCCGGGGGATAAGTGAAGGGTTTAATACCTTCTCCTGGAACGAGGATCATCGTGTCCAGGTTCATCCTCACGGTTTCGCTTGCGTCCATAATCCTCCCGGCCGCCGTCACGACCGCCGTCACGACCACCATCACGGCCACCGCCGCCATACCTGTCACCACGTTCACCACGTTCACGGTCCCGGTCGCGGAATCGGTCTCCGTTTCGGTCTCCAGTGCCTCGATCTCCCATGCGGTCACGATCACGATCTCTGTAACGGTCGTCACGGTCATAGTCGCGGCGGTCACGGTCAGCGTAGCTATCTCGAGGCCGCACAGGCTCCGAATTGCTGCCAGTTGCACCACGGTCGAATCTGCCACCGGCGCCACCACCGCGGTCACCACGATCACCACCGAAGCTACCACCTCTGAAACCTCCGCTACGTCCACCGCCAGGGCCGGAGGGCGCGTTAGGGGGAGCCTGTCCACCGAAGCCGCCACGGTTGCCCTGGTATCCGATACCACCGCGAGGACCACCGAAGCGATCATTGCCACCGCGGAAACCTCCACCACGGAAACCACCACCTCCACCTCTGCCCCCGAAGCCTCCGCGGAATCCGCCTCCATACCCACCCGGTCCAGATGGTGCGTTGAAACCAGGTCCACCACGGGGGAGTTGCGCAACCTTGGTGTATCCGCGCCCTCCGAGACCGCCACCAAGGCGACGGGGCTTCCACCCCTTGGTGGTGCGGCCACGCTCGACATCTACCACAACTGGTCGTCCCTTGATACTGAAGTTCTCTGTGTCTTTGTAGGCCGCTGATATTGATGAAGGAACTGGGGTCAGCAACATTTCTTACCGCAAGACGAATTAAACGGGTGGGTTGGATGCCAAGTAAATTGCCATGGTTGTGATACCTTTCATATCCTTCTCGCGCTCGAACACGACAAATGCATAGCCTCTGTGGGGTTTCTTTTTCTTGTCTGATACTGTATCTTTGATGATGGTAATCTGGAATCACAAAGTTAGAGCTGTTTATATTCACAAGGGATAAGGAAAACAAGACATACTCTTTCAATGGGACCAAATCGGCCAAACTCTCGTTCCAGGTCAGCTTCTTTGGCTTCATAACTGAGGCGTGAGACAAAGATAGTCCTGAATGGGTCGCCTCGAGCTTGAGGATCTTTATCCGGATTGTCTGTAAGACATAGCCACGTTAGCCTCTTGAAATAATGTGAAATGTGAAAAGAGGATAAAGCGTACAGTTTTGCAGTCCATCCGCTATCTGCTTCTCTAACTGCTCTTTCTTCTCGACTTTCTCGCGCAATTTGCGCTGCACCCCGCTTTCAGTTGCGTTGTAGGGAACTTCATCGGCAAAAGTTTTAGCATCGGCAAGGAACTGGGCAACCCCAGAGATAGTGCTCTTCTGGCAGTCATCTGGTGCGCGATCGCCTGGAGGCAGATATCGAAGGGGTGGACGCGGCTGGAACAGCGCCAGAAGTGGCGGGGGTAGCTTATCCGTCATACTGAGTGTGAAACCAATGCAGATAAAGTGGGGATGTGAAGTAAAGACGATATGTGGAAGATGAGTGAAACCTCAGGAGTCAGAGCTTCGTGTCGCAGTTGTGGTCTTAGCGGGTCGAATGATCAAAGTGCTGCACACGCCATTGGTAGCGTGACTCACCGCCCTTACCAATCACGTGCACCAGAAAATGCCCCGAGAGCCATCGCGACTTGTAAACTCCGGCTATAACTATTGACGACTGGAAAGATGCCGTTGCGCGGAATTAGAACATCTACGGCGGCCAGGGTATGTGAAGTCCGAATGTTTGATATTCAATTGACGAACTGACCCAAATCTGCTTAGAACGGCGCCGGTGCCTTCATCCTACAATGCAAACGCCTTGACTTCCATTACTGCAACTGGGCGGGCAGCTCAAAGGGCATGGTGTAGGTGTATCCTAAATGGTGAAACTGAAACTTTCCAGAAACATCCGTACTAACATTGAACATCGCAGTACTTTCTTAGAGAAACACCTCCCCGCTTTCGCCCGCGAGAACCCTCAGATTGAAATCCGTGTCTCTCCCCGACCCCAGAAGCACCCCCTGATTAAGGGCCTTTATATCAATGGCCGTGAGAAGCCCGTGTGTGTACGGAACTTGGAACCTCACGAAATCCTGAAGAAGGCAATTCTCCTCAAAGAAGCTAGTGGAGAGAAGTTGAAGCGGGTCAAGAAGCCAGTCACAAGTTTGAATGAGAGTGTGCGTGGTATCTGGTCACCATACCACGGTGATCTTCGGGGAGTCTAGACGGTTGTATTTTATTATTTACGGTTCATGTTCTCTCTGCGGTGGTGACTATCAGGTATCCCCACTGCAACCTACTGTACTATTGACCTGGGTTGTGTTTATTTCTTCGTTCTTGTCTATTTGCTCCCTGGAAGCCAATGGTGTTTTGAAACCCATATTTTATGCATACAAAACTTGAGCCTATATCAATTCTCTTCCATGATTTCTCTATACCGGAGGTCACCGAAAGTTTGGCTTAACTCCGGACTCCGGGATACTTCTTTCATCCAAATCCGATGGTCACATATCTTATTAGCCTGATTTGGATTTGAAAGCATACATACGTGCCTAACAAGGCTGGTGTTGGCTAGCTTATTGCATGGTTCGCAATCTACTTGACCGGGGGCTCGGCTTTTGCCAGTGTTCGCCCATCCCCTAGTTTTCTACCTGCGTAATCCTCTTCCCTCACTCTCATATTTCATATTTCATCTGAGCGCCTTACTTGCGAAAAAGTGAAGATGCAGTGTGGCATTTCTGCCGACACTCACTTTGGACCCCGAGTGCTGCCATGCCGTCGCGATTTCGACTTTACGTTGCTCTTCGAGCAGGGCATTCTCGCTTTGGCTCCGCATCTTTTATTCCTCACTCTGTGCATTTTCAGTGGTATCATTTCCACAGAGAGCCCAGGAAAGTACACGTAGTGCTGCTGGCACTTGGAAAGTGGTAGGTCTCCCTTTTCCTTAGCTCCGAAATTAGGCTTGCAAGCTAATGTGATATTGAAATATCAAGCAGGTCATTTCCACTCTACTACTAGCTCCGAAACTTGTTCTCCTCGTTTGTGGTGTTTACCAAACTCTCCAAGAACAAAGCTCTCGGTTCCGTCTCAAAGAAAGGAACTAATCGAAATATAGTGAGCGTACTAGGATCATCCTATATCGCCCCTCAAATGCGCCAAAAGCAAAAGGCTTGGGTACATGCTGTTCAGGAGAGAGTCAATTTTACTTCGATAATGCTGAAAGAGCTGCGCCAGATCAAAATGTTCGGTATTGAATCAGACGTGGCATTCAAGACAAACGGTCTTCGTGAGTTGGAACTCCATCAATCAAAGCCCTACCGATCAATGATTGTCGGTGTCAATGTTTTGAGTGCGTTGTCGACTGCCATCGCCCCTGCCCTAACAATAGCCATGTACGCCACTACACAGCTGAACCTCAGGCTAGAGACACCCAGTACTGATGTTGCCTTCACAAATCTGTCCTTAATTTCTCTTTTGACAAACCCGGTAGTACTACTATCTGTCTCCTTGACTAGATTCACATCCGCTATTGGCTGTTTTGATCGGATTCAAGAATTTTTTTGCAAGAAAAACCGAGTACATGGGCTCTCATCTGTCGATGAATACTTGCTGCCTGAGAACGTGTTAGGGATGGAACCCGAATCAGTGCCGACTCAGTCACAACCTCTTGTCTGCATGACTGATTGCTGCTTTAGCCTGGGCTTAGAGGCTCCAGCAATACTCCATGGACTAACTTTGAAGATCCAAAATGGTTTTTTTTTGGCTGTGACTGCCCCCCTTGGCTCTGGCAAGTCATCTTTACTCAAAGATATGCTGGGTGAAATGCATTCTACGGAAGGAATATTGACTGTTCGTTCGGTCAAACAGGCGTATTGCCAGCAAGCTCCATGGATATTCAATGGCACACTAAGAACTAACACTATCGGAGAATCACCACTCGACGAAACGTGGTTCAAAGAGGTGGTATATGTCTGCAACCTGGATTTTGAAACCACAACTCTTTCTCTTGGACTTGACACACTGACTGGGAGCTCGGGAGCTGAACTTAGTGGAGGGCAGAAGCAACGAGTGGTAAGTATATCGGTAATCTCATTCCATCTTAGGTACTAATTTGCGTGAGTTCAGGCTTTGGCTAGAGCAATTTATGCAAGATCATCTTTGCTGATTTTAGACGACATATTTGGCGCCTTGGACACAGTGACATCAAGGCTAATTTTCCAGCGACTCCTCGATCGTGCTGGCTTGGTCAGGAGGCTGGGTATCGCAACCATTCTTGTGACAACAGCTGGTTAGTCTAACTTGAACCCTTCAAATGCTTACGGCGCTGACCATTGCCTTTATTTCACTAGTGGAACACCTCAAAGAAGCCGATAATTTGATTGTTCTTTCAAAGGACGGTCGCATGGAATGTCAAGGACTTTTCGAAGAACTGGCGAAGAAGAATCAGTACATACAGAGTCTTTTGTGTTCCCCAAGTCCGGAAGACAGTGAAGTCGAAGAAGAGAGCAAGGACAGTAACTCCCAGGTGGGGGAAATACGAGAAGAGAAGAAAGAAACCAGACAAACAACTCAAACAAAGACCGTTTCCAAAATCTCCAGGGTGATGGGGACACCTCACTCTACACGTTTGGTTGGTGGGCATGTGGGCTAACGCTGGCATTCACAATTCTATACGTGTTTTGTATTGCATTTCCGCGTGAGTATACCCATCACTGGATATATTCAGAGACATTGTTCCTAAATCATATCGCAGAGGTCATGCTTAGCTGGTGGTGTGACTCAGCTCCTCCAAAAAAATTATATTTATCTTGGTTCCTACGTCGGCATTTCTTCCATCGCCATAGTTGCGATGGGGGTTTTTATCGGGTATGTTCTCAGCACTGCGACGCTATATATGTATGGAGACATCTCATATATCTTAGGTTCTTTTTTGTCTGGACTGTTCCCAGATCGGCTGTTAAGCTGCATGAGGTCTTCTTGGGTACAATAATGAGGTCAGGAATGGGGACAGACTCCTTTTATATTAGACTGAATATGTTGCTGACGAGCTTTTCAGATCGCCTTGGCCGAGCCTGGCTCGCATATATACAGGAAGTTTGATAAATAGATAAGCCATATAATTGAGACTCAACGTTGTGATTTCATCGAAATTAACCTGAAAAATTCTAAACATCTCCAGATTTAGCCAAGACATGTCTCTTCTCGACATGCAGCTTCCTGTTGCTTTTGGCATAACTCCCCAGAGAGCGAATCTTCGTTCCCCAGCATTCACAAATTGTTAAATACTGACTTTCTATCGAGTAGGCTTTTTGACCTGTATTGCACAAGGGGACTTGATCGCTACTGGATCAGGCTTCATGTCTGTCATAATACCCTTCTGCATCGTTGCGGTATGGATAATTCAGGCTTTCTACTTGCGTACTTCACGACAGATCAGACTTCTCGATCTAGAAGCAAAGGCTCCTCTGTATGCCCACTTCATAGAAACGACAGAGGGTCTAACTACTGTGCGTGCACTTTGTTGGCAGCGTCAATTTGCAGATCGGAACACCGAGCTCCTCGATACGTCCCAGAAACCATTTTACACCATGTATTCCATTCAGCAGTGGTTGCAGGTTGTTTTGGATCTACTTGTTGCGGGCCTTGCCACCGTTCTTGTTTCCCTAGCTGTTTTTGTGACAAAGCAAAGTAGCTCTGGGGCCGTCGTTGTGAACTTATTTCATTCAACTCAACTTTGACATTGTTGATTACTAATTGGACACAGCTTGAGACTTCTCTAGGCGCAATTGCAAGGGTCAAGCAATTTGTGACTGACCCACAGCTACAACCTATTGCCAGAAGAGAGATGGCTTATCTCAAGCGCTGGCCTTCGGAAGGTCGAATGGAATTTCGAAGGGTTTCTGCTTCATATGGGTAAGTGTCTCTTTCAGCATCACTCTGTTACGCAAATAGAAATGAACCAAAGGACTAAGATTGCTATTAGGGGGCATGATTCCGTTCCAGCTGTGCGGGATATCTCATTTACACTGGAAGGTAAGGATGGATAAGCTTTATGAATGAGGCATAAGTGATAAGTTGAATAGTGGGAAGAGTTCTTTACTTGCTTGCATTTTCTCTCTCGCGACGATCACGTCCGGCGAAATCTACATTGACGGCATTGACATCTCAACCGTTCCCAAGGAAAAGCTTCATTCTGCATTGGTCCCAATATCCCAAAATCCCAAAATCCCCTGATTCTTCCCGGTTCTGTTCGCCAAAATATTTCCTTGGGAATATCATCAACGATTGATGACTCGGAGATGATTTCTGTCCTGGAGGGAGTCTAAATTTGGAATCAGATTCGTGACAATGGTGGCCTGAGTGCGAGCATTGATTCAACTCATCTGTCAAATGGACAAAAACAGATCTTCTGCATTGCCCGTGCTATTTTATCACCTGGTAGAATTATCATCATGAATGAGCCTACGGGCGGGCTTGATGAGCACACCGAGAGATTAGCCACAGAGCTTCTTCGTGAACGGCTGATAGGACGCACTATCATTTCAATTGCTCATCAAATCAATACTGTGATGGACTCGGACTTGGTGATGGTAATAGATCAAGGTACAGTATCTGAAATGGGAGAACCGCAAGAACTTTTGAGTAGGAAAGGCATGTTTTGGCAGTTGTTCCGGGGCATAAAAGGTGTCTAAATTGAAGTCAGCCAGCGAGAATCCGTTCAAATAGTCTTCTAAGAACCACAAGGAGCTCCACCGCAGGTTCCACAACGGGCCGTCCCGCACAATTATGTCCACACCGAATCAAGAACCGTTGGATATTTTTCGGGCTCACTAGACAGATTTCTCTAATCCACATTGACCCAAATCAATCGCATCATACTATACTTGTGATTTAGGTTGATTGGTTTTGATAGCAGCTACAGGATTGGTAGGAATGTGTCTCTGCCATGTGGCCCTAGCATCATATATATCTTAGCAAATCTTCAATGCCACCGTCTTAGTCTGAGTTAAACGTGGCATAAGAAATCTGTATAAGCATTCTTTTGTAGGAAGCTCTTTATTAGGCTTCAATCATGCACAGGGGCTGTCTCACCTAGTACGGCAATGAGTTAGCGGCATTAACGGTCACTTGCATTACCCACTACTTCACCTATAGTCACAGTAAAAACAAAAGAAAAGTAACCATGCAAGCTCGCTATTACCCGTAGAGCTGACACTATTGAGTCTAGGCGCTAGGTTAAACTCTTGGGCGAATCGGCTAGGGATACTTGCACAATGTAATAAAATATACGAAGAGGGACGGAGAGTACCTGCACGTGCTAAATAGAGGAGATTAGTTGACCATTCCCTCCCTTTTCTTTCTTTACTTTTTGGCTATCGTGTTCAAGTCGTGCCTAGCAGTTCTAAATAAAACATTAAATCAAATCTCAATATTGTTTGCACTCTTATCTCTCTCTCTCTTGTGGAAGTCCACAAGTCAGAGTCTATGAATATCCTTGCCACCCCACGACAGGATGAACAGAAAAGGGAGATACTCTGGTCGGATTGGTGGAAACTGAGGGGGCGGGATTTCGCCCGAGTCAACACCCTTGACATATTCAACCCCTGAATTATTTGTCCCGCACATCAGTTGTTCTCACTTTTACTACTCCGTATGTTGTACCTATCTTGATCTGAGAGCTCGCCGAAGCCTATTCCACCATGTCTCATATCATAAACTCCTTCCAGCAACTAGAAAAGGTTCGTACCTTCTTTTGATTCCCTGCATGGGTTTATGTCGTTATATGGTGGCTGTGAAATTTAAGAAGGTACCTTAAAAAGGATAGGTTGAGTTGACCCCGCTGATTTTGGTCACAGTTGGGTGAAGGCACCTATGCAACGGTTGGTATCCCCGAGAAGAGTTTCAGTCTTTCTGCAAGAATACCATTCATGATAAGACTAGGTCTACAAAGGTCGGAACAACCAGACCAATGAGCTGGTGGCCCTGAAAGAGATTCATCTCGATGCCGATGAAGGGACGCCGTCGACTGCGATCCGTGAGATCTCCCTGATGAAGGAGCTTCACCATGAGAATATCCTGGCCCTGTATGACGTGGTTCATACTGGCGAAAATCTCGTGATAGTGTCGGAATACATGGACAAGGACCTGAAGCGCTTTATGGACGACCGCGGTGGCGCTCTTGATCTCCCCACCCTCAAGTTCTTCGCATACCAAATGCTGCGAGGCATAGCCTACTGTCACGAGAATAGCATCTTGCACCGGGATCTTAAGCCTCAAAATCTGCTTATTAGCCGGGATGGAGATCTGAAGTTGGCAGATTTTGGTCTCGCCCGTGCCTTTAATATCCCCATCAACACTTTCTCAAATGAGGTGGTCACCCTCTGGTACAGACCTCCGGATGTGCTCTTGGGAAGCCGCTCTTACGACACCAGCCTCGATCTTTGGTCAGCGGGTTGCATCATCGCCGAGATGTATACCGGTCGGCCGTTGTTTTCGGGAAACGCGAACAATGATCAGCTGCTCAAAATCTTTCAAGTGATGGGCACCCCGTCTGAACGCACTTGGCCGGGTATCAGCCAGTTGCCAGAATTCAAGCCCAATTTTCCTATCTACCTGAGTCAAGACCTGCGACTCCTGATCCCCAGGATGGATCCTCTCGGGGCTGATCTGCTCGAGCGCATGCTGCAATTGCAACCTGAGCTACGGATCAGCGCCGCTGATGCGCTACGCCATTCATGGTTTGACAATCTTGTTTCTGAGACAGGGCTATCAACACGCAACGTTCCTATGATTGTTTAGATTTCCAATGCTGCTAGGTACAGGAGAACATGGTGAACCCATAATAAAGAGTGAGGGCATTACGACGTCAGGACCATCATCAAGGACAGGGGGAAACCAGGCTTGCCCTGAGTGTATCTACAATTGAACACTCGAGACATGAAACGCAATCTTCATACAACTGAAGGCTGATATTGATACTTCTCATCCAATATCTTCCCAAAGAATTGTACACTCTTGCCAGCCAACATAATATACTTCATATATCTAGTTCCTAGATCATAATGTCGAGGGCCACGGTGCCTGGCTGATATTCTGAAGGTATTAATTAGTCTCACGGTCGATCTTGGATACTTAGCAAGAGTAATCATGTTTACCAGGCAGCCTGAGAACTAGAATACATTGCAATCTACCATGAGTTTCAGTACAACATCCATTGGACAATATTTATAATATTCTGCATATGATAGGCTACGAAACCACCGGGGTCATAACGCCATCATAAGTCATTGAATCGTAATTTGGATATAAATCATTATTTAAAAACGCCTGCCAGTTCAAATGCATCTTGGGTATCGACGGAATGAGGAAAGGAGATGGCCATAACAACAGAATGCAAATGAATGCCCGCAAAATCAATGCCCAGGGTAAATCACAGATAAAGGTGGTACATAGCCGTCGGGCTACTTACAGGTTTATTACAACCTGCAACTTGGCACCTTGAGAACGGCTTTGTCTTTGAAGCTGCCTTTTTAGACTTTGAGATGGACCGATTCCCAGCGCATTCGCCACAATATACCTGACAAAATTGTTAGTCTTTGTCACGGACTCATCAGCTCAAAATGGACAATACTCACATGGCCACATGGTTTTGCAATATGAATCTGTTGTTTTAGCCCCTCTCCGGTTCCCAACTCGTCCTGGCAGTTCGGACAGATAGGCACGTCATCTTCTGCCAAAAGGCGAGTGAATCCTTCGGGTGCTGGACTTAGTCCTTTATATGATGATCGAGGCTGGGGCGCCGGCTGAATAGGCGGATAAAGAACCGCAGAGTGAAGCAACCCCAAGTCACTCATGCCATTGGCACGATAGCCGGACCATGTCCCATCGGATCTTCTCGGCCGGCGTGTATGAGGAGGGAAGTGCATTGGTATTGGAATGCCATTGGTGTCGAAGTACCTGGGTTCTATTGGTCTCGGCCTGAGGGTAGAAGACCCAACAAACTGAACATCTCCACTGCCCGGCGAGACCTCCGCTTCCAGATCGATTACAGCAGGACGATCAGCCATGGTGGACGTGTGGTTCATCAAATCTCCCGGAAATCGTAATGGACGGGGGGATGTGAAGGGACCGAATATTGATGTCACATTCCGATGGGGAGGAGAGTCTGGGTCGTTTGTCAAGTCGATCACGGCATTATCTCCAGGTGAAAGCATCACCGGCCGTCGGTAGTCGAATCCATCTCTATCTCTTCTGGGTGGCAACCGGGAATCAGATCGAGCGTGGTCGGAGCGACGTGGGTGAAAGTGCTGTTCCCAAGCGGCATCACCGCTTCCATCATCTTCTGTGGCCATCTCACGATGTCTTCGCTGAGAGAGAAAGAAATCTTGTTAGCTAGGTTCTTAATGATCTGATCGGGTGCCCCGCCCGTTTCACGACGGATGAAGGCTTACCTTGGTTCTGGCGCCCATAAACTGGACGCCAGAGTTTTCACTCATTTCAGGGCCTATTCCTGAAGTCAAGGAATGGTATTTTGCAGAGAAAGGAGAAATTGAAAGCCACCAGGGAGGTGAGAGAGCAAGATTGGAATCCATCTTTGTGTCTAGGCCGAGTCGCAAGGCGGTGAACTTGTGCCAATGTTATAAGGCGGTGTCTTGATTAGTGAGCTTTGAGGTTGAGGGCCGGGAACGCATTCCAGAATTGACAAGACGAACTGGCTCTAGCAACAGATATTTAACTCATTTCTGTAGGGCTTTGTTGCTGTCTACTATTAGTATTCCACACCAAGTTTCATATAAAGATTGGACCAAATGAAAGGTATGAATTCACGATGAAATCTTTCATTCATCTCTAAATTTACCTGTGAACCTTGGAATATCATCTGTGAATACCATCTGTGAATATCATCGCACCAAGAGCTTTCAAATCAAACACCATGGAAAATTCAGAAGGTCGCATGCTCTAATATTACAGTATTTTCCTGGTGATCATGACTGTGCCTCTAGCACTGTGATCACACCCGCCTCATTCAACGTCACAATACTCTGAGCAGCTGATCCCCAAGCAACCGAGGTAGCAGGGACCGCACTCCGCAGAGGCTCTGACCACCCCTTGGAGGCCTTTGAGTATTGCTGGACAGTTACTCCGCTGGGCCCACCAGTCAAGAGGAATTGGCCAGTATAATCCCAGAAGATTGAGTCTATCTGGCTTCCTGTGTCCAGTACCTTGGTCTCCTTGGAGCTGCGGAGATCCCAGATTGATACAGTGGTGGACTGCGCGGCTACCGCAGCCAGGTAAGTACCGTTCTCAGAGAAGAACAGACATTTCACTGGGCCCGACATCGTATAGTCCGCAGCAGCGGCGCCGGTCTTGACATCGAAGATCTTGACTTTTCCGTCTGCGCCACCGGCCGCGATCAAGTGACCATCTGGGTGGAAGTTGACAGACAGTAGAGCTGAACAAAAGTGATTAGCATCGCGCTTGGATATATGAGTTCCATAGGTTGACTTCTTACCTGCATCGCAGAAAATTTGGGAGACCACGGTGTTGGTGGCGAGATCATAAAGCACATAACTCTTATCGACACCAACAGAAGCAGCAATATCACCAGTAGCGTGGACTGTGACAGCCGTCACCTCACCAGAGTGGGAGGCGAAGCTTGCAACTTCAGCGCCATTCTCAAAGACCTTGACGGAGCCCGTAGAGGAGGCAACGACGGCCTTGTTTCCTGCCCATGTCGCATCGGTGACTGGGCCATCTGTCTTGAGGGTCTGTACGACACTCTTCTGGGAGAGCGAGTAGACACCAGCCACGCCGTCAACACCACCAACAAGAGCCAGGTCACCAGTCGGGTTGATAGATAACGCGCGGCCACCGGGGTAGAGAGGTTCCGAGACCTGAGATGGCTTAAATGTGGAAATAGCCTCACTTGAGGCCCAGCCCTCGGGGACTGCGCGCTTACGTCGGGTCTTTGATAGTCTGTCCAATAATTAGTCGTCTATCCAGAAATGCGATGGAGAAGCACCGAATTCACGTACGCTGCCTGTGTGTTCTCAATTCGCTCCAACACTGCTTGGGGCAGGCCCGTGGAGTCCACTTGCATAGCCTCTCCTCCGGCGCGAGTGGTACCAACAGAAACGTTCGAAAGTGCCTCGCGGGCCTCGTCCCTCTCCTGCGTCAGGCGCGCAATCACCCGCACCGCGGCATCATGCTGATAGAGTGCCGAACTTAGCTCGCGCCTTGTCTGTGCCAAATTCTGCTGCAAAGTGAAGGTCTCCAGGGCCAAGGCATCCCACTCTTCTTGAAAAACGCTGAGCAGAGACGGGATGGATGTAAGAGTAGGGGGTCGAGGTCGGACAACGCGTTGCGACTTGAGATCGATCAAATCGTCGGTGGTAAGCTCCTCGCCGTTCACGGGATCTTTGCCATGCTCGGCAATGTATGCTTCAATAAGGCGCTTTTCAAATACGCTGCCTATTTAATTATGAGATTGATGTCGTGCGCGCAAGGTGATTTCGAAGACTTACCGCTCTTGGTAGAGACGACGGGCACTTGAGGTGCTTCTCCGGAGACTGTGAGAAAGGTTTAGTGAGGAACTCGCTTGAAAGAAGAGCACAAAATTGCGATTCATAGTAGGCTACTCACTAGCACAAAGCATAGTTAATTGGTATTGGTTGATGAGGGTTGATGGACAGGACTTGACGCGAAACGGCTCCTTGGACTTTTCGATGTGTCCTATTATGGTTTAGCGTCTTGAGCTGAGGGCGGTGTAGTAGGGCGGAATATTGCGACCAGCAGTGACGTAAGTCCGGCGAATTTTGACCGGCAGAAAAGTACAGTCCTTCCCGTGATAGGTACGGCGTAGAGGGGCCAGAGAAATAGGCGGTGAGGCTTAGGAATGTATGGTCGCGGTAGCCCGCCGTAGACCAGCAGCTATCGACTTTCACAATTCTCCAATTCTCGCTTTTGCATATAGAGATAACTTATCTTTCTATTTCGATTGAACAAAATGGATTTCCCTCGATGATCTACAGAATAGGCAAAGGGCACGAGTACAAAGCTTCACTTGAAAGCTAGCAAGCGAATACAGCGAGCGCATTCCCATCATGCCTAAGAACCCAAAGTTTGAATATGGTATGTCGCTTTGCACCTCTCTAACATACCTATTTGATTCTAACCTGTTATGCAGATGCAAAGCAGCCTGCATTTCTGCAGAAGCTCCGGGGCCAGTATGGAGACGGCACTGGTCGCTTGGAGCGGCCAGCCTTACGACCGACCAGACTCAAGGTCAATAATGACGACGACGATGACGAGCCTACCTACCTCGACGAAGAAAGTAACGAAGTGATTTCCAAGGAGGAATACAAGGCATTGGTTGGTGAAAGTGGTCCGAAAGGAGAGGACGAGGCCGGCGAATCAGCGAAGGACAAATCCACTGGCGATCAAGACAAATCCCAAACAGAAGTTTCTACCAACAAACAGAACAATCTCACTGAGGTTGGAGGTCAGAGGAAACGGAAAAAGGCCAAAGTGGTGGGTGAGGACAATGCCGAGGCCGAAGAAGTCCTTCCCAAGGCAACTTCGAAGAAATCCAAGAAACCCAAGAAGATCAAGCTCTCGTTCGACGAGGAATGAGAGTCCAGCAAGGCTGAGAACTAGAGTATTCCTTTGCGCCACGTCGTGGGTGGTTGACTCAGTGTAAAGCATCGAGGACTCATAATGAGTCAATAGAACGGATTACACAACGGGGATTGTATACCGTCATAGGATTAGAGACTGTCAAAGTCAAAGTCATATAGAAGAATACATACTAATGCCAGTATTCAGTCTATAAGATAAAAATCCATCCAGTTCAAAATAATAATTCAAGTGCTATAAAAGGTCTGGGCCAAGGGCGCATCTTTATCCGCAACTTTTTTTGCAACTTTTTTTTCTCTCTCACGGGATCCAGTCGCCTTCCATTCTTTTTACAAACAACCTGCTCTTGGTCTCAGTATCAGTCAAGATGCCTGTTGTAAATGTCGACCAGCTGGTCCGCCTACAGCGGAAGCCCGAGGACATAAGAAATGTGCGTGTGCCCCTCCATCCCACTCATATCAGGGCTTTATACTAATCTCAGCCACCAGATCTGCATTTTGGCCCACGTTGTAAGTCAAAGAAATTTACACTTTCGTTCCAAATGAGCCTAAAATGCTCATCGCGCTTTCTTTTGCATTTTTAGGATCATGGCAAGACATCTTTGACGGATAGTCTTATTGCCACAAATGGCATCATTTCACCCAAGCTGGCCGGTAAAATCCGCTACCTAGACTCTCGCCCAGATGAGCAGCTTCGAGGTATTACAATGGAGTCATCAGCTATCTCACTGTTCTTCTCGATGCTCCGCCGTCCAAGCCCGGACGCAGAGCCAGTGACCAAAGAGTATCTGATCAATCTGATCGATTCACCTGGTCATATCGATTTCAGCAGCGAGGTCTCCACCGCATCTCGTCTTTGTGACGGTGCAGTTGTGCTCGTTGACGCAGTTGAAGGTGTTTGCAGTCAAACCGTGACAGTTTTGCGACAGACCTGGGTTGAGCAGTTAAAACCGATCTTAGTCATTAACAAGATGGACCGCTTGGTAACAGAGCTGAAGATGAGCCCGGCCGAGGCTTTCTCGCATCTTAGTCGACTGTTGGAACAGGTTAATGCTGTCATCGGTAGTTTCTACCAGGGCGAGCGCATGGAAGAAGATCTGCAGTGGCGTGAGCGTATGGAAGATCGTGTCAATGCTGCAGCGGCTCGGGACCAAGACAACAAAAAGACATCAGCTGACGATGAGTCTGCACAAAGCATCACTGAGGGAACTGAATTTGAGGAGCGCGACGACGAGGATCTTTATTTCGCACCTGAGAAAAATAACGTCATCTTCTGCAGTGCCGTTGATGGCTGGGCTTTCACAATCCGGCAATTCGCCGCCATTTACGAGAAGAAACTCGGAATCAAACGAACAGTTCTGGAGAAAGTCCTTTGGGGTGATTATTATTTAGACCCTAAAACTAAACGCGTCTTGGGTGTGAAGCATCTGAGAGGACGTGCTTTAAAGCCTATGTTCGTTCAATTGGTCTTGGATAGCATTTGGGCCGCTTATCAAGCCACCACAGGTGGTGACAAGGGCAAAGGGTAAGTTGAAAACGAACCCAACTATCGCGTCAACGCTGATATGATATTGACCTTTACTAGTGACCCAGTGTTGCTGGAGAAGATTACCAAATCGCTCAACATTAACATCCCGGTATATGTCTTGCGCGGACGCGACCCTAGGAACATTATGAATACACTATTCTCTCAGTGGCTGCCACTATCTACTGCCTTGCTGGTTTCCGTCATTGAATATCTCCCCAGTCCGCCCGTTGCGCAAGCTGCCCGACTACCTGAAATGATCAAAAAGTCCCCTGGCGCTGCTTTCATTGCCGACGATATCAAGACCGCCATGGTGGAATTCAAGACAGGACCTGAA